CTGAGCAGGGCAACCCCTCACCTGCAGTCAAGTGATGGGACAACAGCTGCTTAGAAAAAATCTCTTCCTTGCACTGCTAGCTGGGCTACCCAGTAGGTAGTGAGAGTGGGCACAGGGAAGAACACTTTTTAAATTCATGTAAAGATATGCTTTTTCCCTAGCATCTTCTTCTTCCAGTACCTGAAAGATTTATGATCTGAAAAAAAAAATAATAAAAAAAAGAAAAGTCTGTTGTACTGGTTCAAAGACGAGCATTTCTCTGTAGAGGGGTACTTTCTGTGATCAAGACATCTCCTAGTTGTTTTTGATCAGTTTAGGAAAAGTCCTCCAACTGCAATGTGTTGTCTCCTGGCCTCCAAACCACGGTGGCTCTCCTCCCTCTCCTGCCCCACACCCCTTTTCTTCCAGCCACCACCTAGTTAAAGGATATTTCAGAACATTATTAACTATGATACATACACACACAAAGTCACGTCGTTTGTTTTTATTAAAGAGCAAAGAAGGCATATGAGATTTTTATTTATTTATTCATAATATTTTAATATAAACTCTGTCCCTACACTTGTGTATCTCAGAACAGCAGAGGAAAGTTGCTTGATGCTGAATCCTTGTTTACAAAGATGTTTGCAAATGTGTGCAATACTTTCTCAGTGTTCCCTTTGCTGCCACTGAAGACGGCTGCTCTAAAGCATGGTATTGATGATAGGTGTCAAAAAAAAAAATCACAGTTATTTAGACAATTCTTCATTTCCACTGGCATATTTCTATTCCGTGGAAGAACAGAACGAAGCTGCTTTCTCTTACCAGTGCTCACATATTTACTTCAACACAATTTTTGATACAGCAGTTATTAGATAACAAAAATAAATTGCAAATCAGTCTTCAGTGTTTCCTTAAAATCCTTTGGGATTCTGCATTTAGAACAAATGCATTTCGTTTTCTCAATCTGTTATAGAAGCTCTGGGTTGGTTTTAAAAAACATCCTGGGAAATGAATCCCTATTCCAATGGCAGCATCAGAAACGAGAATTCAAACTGATGGCAATTTGCAAAAGGTTTGTTGACGTCTGGTGCCACCTAGCTAGGGGATGTTCCGCATCTCGTGTATCACGGATTTAAATGTCTTGCCACAAACATACAGTCCTCTTCCAAACGAGCTGAACATGAAACGTCTACCGGATAAACTTCAACACCCTTTCTAGTGTATCTCAGATTATCGTTAACCAGAGAGGGAGGTGTATGTTCAATAAAAACCACAGTACTGAGTAACATTTTTCAAATTCTTCCTGTTTACAGAGGACCACAGGATTACAGGCCATTACTGACTGTTTCCACGTTTTCCAGTGTATTTCACTATGAACTTACTGCCTGCGTAGACAAGAGCAAATGAGACATAGCTTAGGGATTTTTTTTCCCCTTGAAATAAGTAGCAACAGGACCGGCAGAATTGCTTCCTGAAGCTTTTCTTGAAATAAAACAGAATTATCTGGAAAAGGCAACAACGTACCGCTGGCACCAGGACAGGTGTGTGTACAGACAGTCAAAAGGAACAGGAGCAAGAGATTCTCTTGCAGCTTGAGGATCAGTAAAAATGCACTGTGACAAGCAAGTTGAGCGGAAAGAAGTCACTTCAACCAGTTATTTTAAAACTTCAGAATCTTTTTTTTTTTTTTTTAAACCAGAGGCTGCAAACTCGGAGTCCAACCTTTCTGTAAAATATAGGAGCATGAGATTTCTCACAGAAAAATTAGAGCTTTTGCCGAGGCATTTAGTGGGCTCAGTCAGGTGTATCAGTACATCCAGCAAACAGGTGACAAGTCGATGTCTGCCGCAGATAGGAAGAGACCCAGCATGCAAGCAAAAAGATTAGTATTTGCTTCTGGAAAGAAGTTTTGTCTTTATTTTTTTTTTTCCTATAGAATGCAGCCAGTAGGCCTATGAAGAAGATTGTCTGTCACTCTCAGGACTGCAGTTACAGACAGGCTGGAGAAATAGGCACAAAGTGCTTCCTGGCATGGTGATGGAACAAAGACCTTACAGCCCGTTCTACCGCTAACCCATGGAGCCCAGAAAGGCTGCTGTACAGAACTTCAGAAAGTCTGAAAGCATTCTGTCTGAAAGGCAAGCTGAAGCTATAGAATATACACAAGTTCAAACAAGAACCAAAACTAACCAGCACGTTCCTCTAAAGGAATATTTAAAACATTCGATTGTGGGGTTTTATTCAAGAGCTAAGGCAGGCAAGGCAAGAGCAAGGGTTTCAGTAAAGATTCCTCACCAGCTGTAACTATCACTTAGGAATCTATTTACTGTACACGCCAAGTACGAGCAATCAGACCTGCTGTGCTACAGGCTGTGCTGCCAATTGACAGGGTGAGCACAAAGGACACAGGCAACAAATTTTAAAAAAGTAAACTTACCTATGTTTGAAGTGTTAAAATAATGAGGAAAATAATACAGCAAAAATAAATTAAAGCAAGATAAGGTAAAGCAGCAAAATAGTAAGTGAACTACAATAGCAAGCAGAAAGTAAGGTAATGCACCTAATCATTACTACACAGAGTCAGCGACAGTGATTAAGAAAGATCCATCACCAATTGCCCTGATGATACGTTACCATCATCCAGATCCGCAGTCGCTGGGGAGCCCGGTTGCAGCGAGGATTTGGGGAAAACCCTTCCCGGCAACTGGGAAATCTCTATGCAGTGCGTCCAACTGTACAGATGAGGCTTCCAAATTCCCTGCAAACGTTCCCTGCTTTTGTACAGTTGAATAAACAACTTTATATCTTAAGCTGCAACAAATCCTCTGCTGTAGTTTTTTAACTTTTTCCCGCGTTTGGCCAGAACCTGAAAAAAAGTTAAGTAAAGGTATCTGGTTATCTTTGGTTATGTATCTCTCAGCAAAGCCTGTCACTGCCCTGCTACATTCTTCTGATCTGAAAAAGGTATCAGAAGAGAAAAATGTGTGTGGAGAGTGAGACATAACAGTCAAGTGCAGCTTTCAAGTTAAGCGTTATGTGTCTTCTCCATTCCCGAAAGGGAAAAAAAATTAATCAAGAAAAAAAATCCTAAAAAATACCGTTATTTCACATGTGAATGGCTAATCACCTTGGTTTTGAGTCTGACATCTAAGGGAAGAAAAGGAATGGGATTCCTGCCAAGATTCAGATCTCTCCATACAATTATATGAATCGTCCAAGACACAGACACACATAGAGGCACTTCAGGGTTAACCTTCCAGCTCATGCCAACAAAAAACAAAGAAACAGAGTTGAGATGGGAACAAAACTCCTCTTGGTGAGACTTTAATTCCTCTTGTCAAACTCCAAGCTCACTCCTCAGGCTGTAAGAAGACCCAGCAAACTTTCTATGTGACCAGAACTTTCCACCTGAGGATGATTTGAAAAACCAAGATACTTATATTAAAAGAAGGCTGACATAGGTAAGATACTTACCTGATTTATCAAAGTATCTTATAAAAATATCTTTCTGTTCAGTATTAAGTCCAGACTACAAACACCTAGTTTGAGTGAACAGATCTTCCTATTTAACTGATATCAAAGCCTTGATAAATTCTATCTGACACACTTCCTTGTTGGTTCTTAGAAATTCAGTTAATTTTGTTTACAAATACATGTGGCATGATGAAATTTATCTTTTGAAGCAGCACAAAAATTCAGACCAAAAATTCCTAGTATTTCAGACTTAGTAAAGCTACGGAGGCAAATTTTCTCTTGTCAAGAACAAGATATTTGCAACATCAAAAGTGGTTTTGTATTTTTATTAGTATTTACAAAATATCGTAAATTCATAACATTTGTCCAGCTTGCACATATCAATGGTACAAAATCCCCCAGTTACATCAGGATTGAATTATAAAAGTTTTATTTTAAAATTACTGAAAAGCACACCTTATCCAGTACTTCTTCCATCCAAGTAAATATACATATAAAATTTAAAAATGTAAGTATTACATTTTCTTTATGTTTCAAGACACAAGGGATCACAAAAACATCTATCTTTTTTAGATCCAGGGGAGAATTCTCGTAGCGAACGTTTTAATGCAACTACCAAGTATTACTCTCAAATTAAGTATTCTCTAGAGTGATCAAAAAAAGATTTAAAAATATGGGGAAACAGAAACAACTTCTACAGATGAGGGTTAGGTGATGGCAAACATAATAATAATCACAATTCATGCAGTTCTGCCACTGCTGACAGAAAATATTCTGCCTTGAAGATGTTTCAGTTAAGACTTGAGCAGAACTGGCAGATAATTCTACTAGAAACATTTCATGACTGCTGCCATGATACTGGGAAAATTATCACTTTCTAGTTTCTATAGAATACAATTTTTTTCTAACACGTTATTTGCTGTTTTTCAGTCAAGATTCACACACTAGTAGACAAAGACCTCCCTCAACAAACAAATCAAAAGCAGGGTTTGGTACATCGCTAACAACATGATGTACTAAGTAGGCATTTTTCTTTTCTTTAATCCAGCATATACGATAATATTATACAGCCATCCTCACAGAAACGAGGACAAAATTGACGTTTTTGCCATGGACAAAAACTTTATAAAAACATAATGCAATTAAAATACAAAAATATATACAGTACATGTCAGACTAGTTAGTAGTGGCATTTGAGGTTTCTGGAGACTGAAGAAATTCATAGGGATCATGAACCATGTCTTGCTGCTCTCCAACACTCAGATGAGAAGGGCTTCCTGCAGATATGAGAAAAAAAAATCAAAACCTTTAAAAGTACAGAAAAACAACGGAGAGATATTTATATATATAAACAGCATAGTTGTTTCACATCTTCCTTTCAGCCTTTTAAAGGCAAGACAGACATTTAAATTATATTTAAACAGGAGATTTCAGTAATTTAGGTCCTTTTTGAAAAAGCAGTTATTATTCTATTACTCTGAGTTGAAAAATTTTACAAAATATGAGTATCATCCAGCCAACATCTTCTACCTTCTTAGAAATGGCACCAAATTGTTAAGTAGTATGTTACCCTATCATCCTGTCTTATCACTGAATTTTACAGTAGACAATGGAAGGCTATTGGAGAATCCCACCTGTTACTTGCTCCATACAACTATGCCAAAGTAAAATAAACATTATATACTCCTTAGTACTCCTAAGAGCATAAAATGCAAGTGCATATAGGGATTTGCCAGTCAGTATCAATTTACTTCAAAATTACTTCAATCATGCCTAATCAAAAAAAAGTTAACTACAATTAGCATCTTTAATTTCACAGGTCAAAAGTATGTCTTCTTAGTTGCCTTTCTGTGCATATTTAAAAATTAGAACATGATCCTGAGTCAGTACACTGTTTAATCAGTGTAGTTTCATGCAAAGATTTATGCAAAGTAAAATGTAAGTTGTAACCAGTTTCAATTAGAGCAGAAGTACTGCAACTTCTGTAACACAGGTAACTCTACCAAGATGATGTTGGTCTCTTTCAGAGGTATTGGAGAGGGAACTCAAATTGGATGACGGCCGGGATCCCACTCTGTCAGCCTGAGCTTCATGAAGGTCCTGCAGCAGCTTAGTTGTTTCATCCAGATGTAAATGGTTATCATCATGTTCAAGCTCCTTCTTCACCTTCCCTAAGGGCCACCAGTTACCAATCAAAAACCATAATTAGCACATGCAGACTGACCCATGAATTACCAAGTCACTATAAAACAATTCTAAAATAAATTATCACAAGTGTTTTCTGTTACACAAAAGATCTCAACCTCACATTTTCCTTTGCACTTCTAAAAGGCAGCAGCTGCAGACTGTTTTCAGTTTCCAGAAACACATGTTGAAACGCATTTGACAATACTGGAAGGTGAAGGACAGCATAATGGGAAATGGCTGAAACTGAACTGGCTCCCAGTATTTAAACAGCTAGAAGAGCTTAATTTGTCTTCCTCATCTGTTAAACTCCAGACATGAAATAATGCATTTAGTTTGCAGCCAAGGAGAGGAAGTCAGCAGAAAGATTACTTAAGATATCTAACTTAAGATACAGTTAAAATAGAACATGTAATTTATGGAGGTGAAGAAATCCCCATCACAGCAGGTTTAAAGAACAGTACCTTCTCCAGCTACACTGATTTTATAGTAAGCCAAATAAAATTGTGAAATTGGAAAGAACTGGAAGTATGTGCCAACATAAGCTGTTCTATCATCTGAAGACTTAAAAAAAAAAACCTTATTTCAATTTTAAACAGGAAAATTAACTCTTCGCCTTCTCTTTGGGCTGTATTCAATGCAGACCTTGCTAACTTTGCAAGAATTATAAGAAATAATGCCATAAACTCTCTCCAGAAGCTAAGTAGGCTAGAAGTACGGTTATTTACAGAAAGATCAAAGAAGAAAAATATATGCAGCTTTTAGTGGAGCAAAGAATTCATAGTAAGACTGATATGTCTAAACATCATCTTAAAACAGATATTACTTTTTTAATGAACTGCAATAAAATTAGTATGTGACAGCATAATCAGAGCTTTTCAAAGAATACTACATCTATGTGAGAAATCCATAGAAGTCTTTTTTTGTTGTTGTTTAAGCTTTCAAATACCTTGGTTATGTTTTATAATAGATAGTTTGGCATCTTTTACATTCTGAATTAAAAGTATCTTAAACCATAAGCAATATTTTATTTTGTGATGACATTTTTGAAGACCTTTGACCAGTTCAGCATCCTGCAGAAACGGCAACATGATGTCTTGTTGTATTTAGAGAAGGATACCTATCAAAGAGGTGTATTTAAAACAACATCCCAATACTTTTATACAACTGCCTTATTTGAATCTGAAGTCTTTCCAACACCTGAAGTTTCTTCTGAATTTTGTTTTGGGACATTCCAAGTGGTGATATGATTGAGCTTCACATACTTACCTACTTCCAAAGTTAGTTCAAAAGACAGCATATAACATCTCTGAGCCAAAGCTCCACGCTGATTCTTAAAATTTATGTTACTATGAACACATAAAAAACAAGCAAAACTATCAAAATTGAGAGGTACAAATACTTTGGTTTCTTCAGTGGTACAGGAAAAGTTAGCTTGGCTAGCACATGAATGTCTCAAAGGAAAAACAGACCAAGGTTTCATTTATCTTGTACCAGCTCTAGACTTCTACCTATGTTAAACGTAGATGACTTACTACTTCTGAACACTTTTTTACTCTTAGCAAATCCAGCTGTTATTTTGCCCAAACGGTGCAACGAAACCATAATTGATGGCTTGTCCATCTAATTACTTACCTAACGAACTTAACATAGAAATATCAAGAGATACATCTGAATATGGTTTAATAGAGAGAAAGTCCAAGTCAGAAGTGTTACTGTCTCCAGCAGATTCTCCAACCTATTGAAACACAAGAAACAGAAAAACTACCAATAGTGACAAGCTGTCATAACTTTTTAATGTTTAAGGTAAACGCATGAATCCGTACTCTCAAAAGCGTGTACCACAACACCTAAAATTGGATCATCCATAACCATCCTGGCTAACCTGCAACTCACAGGCAGCTCAAACAGGGCTCCAGGACAGACCAGTCATACGAATGGCAAGTGATCTGCAAGGTAGTCTAAACATCTTTCATCTCATCATCCGGGACTGCTGAAACCAACATTACCAAATCCTCTGGGACTCTGTTACATGCTCAACTCATCCCTGTCCCATGGCAGAAGGGGAAGCAGTTTCAGTATTCCCCACCACAAACCACTCCCAAATCATCTTTTCCCTCAACTTCTCAATGCAACACTGGATTTACTGAAATTTTTAGTATATGACTAATAAAACAAGTGAAGTGAGCCTCTCTATACACAGTATCAGCTGGAGCTGCTCTCTCAAGTATTTTTTTCTATACATTCAGACAATTAAATACAGCCTGCACTACAACAATTTAATTTTTTCCATGCCTGTTGCAATTTGCCATGCAAATGACAAAAAGTAAGAGATCAAAGTAAAAGCTGTTAAGTTTCAAAACACGTCTAATAGAATTCTCTGAGGCTGCCTGTTCCAGCAGGAGGAATAAGACATGCAGGTAAATACACAACCAGGAATTATCTTTTAGAAACATGAAAATGAAACTTAGCACTTTCATGAGAAACTTAACCAGTCACCTTGTAGAGAAATACAAACCTCTCCACAAAACATATGGAATATTTATAAAACTGCACATTTTATTACTTGCTATAATGTAATACATATAATTTTTTGTGCGAATTGCCATGGAATACAGTGCATATCTTCTGCTGTCACAAATAATTTGCAAGACAAAACCTGTACCACTTAAAGACAGATTTCATTAGCAGCTGTGAAAGCATCAGAGGGTGCATTATTTACCCTACTTTCTAACAGACACTTTCAATGGATGCGGTAAGACTGATAAATACTACTGTTTTTTCCACACGTTAATAGCAGGTTGAACCTCAAGTACTAATCAGCAGTATTCATTAAGTGTCTTTTCAGATTCCTGGTCTTTCTGCCTCCAGGATTTAGTTATGCATTCTGAATTAAACTAGAGAAAACAGAACAACAGGACAAAGAAAGCCATGAACTAAAATAGACTGAGTGTCAGACAATCCATTTTACATACTGAAAGCTTATTCTAGATACTAGAATTTTAATCTTCTACCTCAGAGCATGCATATCCTTGCACTGAAACAAAATGAACGTCTCAATATCCCCCTCCGCCCCTCCTTTTGTGGGTTTTTTGGGGTTTTATTTGTTTTTTTGGTGTTGTGGGGGTTTTTTGGTTTTGTTTTTGTTTTTTTAAAGACAAAAACCATTTTACCATAATCTGTTTGGAAGAATCCGGACAGGTATTACTCAACTTGTGTTCCTCTTTTATGAGAACTGGCAGAACCTAAAGAACCAAATTATATTTTAGATCTTAGCATTTCACAGTTTATACTTAGTGTTTCCTAAGAATACTCTTAGTTTGTGTAATTTACTGGTTTATCATGATCAGGCCACCACAGAACACTATCATGTTTTGTGATGTTTGCATAGATCCTTTTACAGAAAAATAAGCTTTTGTCTAATGAGTGACCATATACATTCGCATAAACATTTTAGAACTAAGCATGACAGCCTTTTAGAATCACAGAATCGTTAAGGTTGGAA